CATATTTCGCCATCTCAGATGACAGTTGAATACAATTTTGAGAATGAAATTTGAGAAGTGAGTAATAAACAGAAGACAGACAGGCTTACCTCAAAATTTTGTTTTTGCAGCTTGTTTTCGTCCCTTTGCGAAACAACTTACAGGGAATCGCGGCTAAAAACAGTTCTAATACTAATCTTAAGTTAGTGTTGTGCGTGTAAAACTGTTTTAGAGTTTAAAGAATAATCTGAAGAATAATTCTGTAACCGGGTAAAGTACTGAACGTCTTGTTTCTGCTGTTTGTTTTTTGCATTGCGTGATTGTCCGATTTCAAAGGCAGTATTACGGGAAAAGTGCACTGCTACAAAGAATTACACCAACATGGTGGCAGAATACTAACCCATATAATATTCACGGAATTACTTTCTTAACAACTGGACAAACAGTTTCTTAAGGTTTGCTCTATGTAACAGTTATTCCACTAGCGCACGAAATGGAAATGAAACGATAGATAACCAATAAGGCGCCGAATTAACAAGCGCGAGTGAAAATAACCACGAAAAAACACTACCAGAAGACGATTTTTATCCATTATACTGAGTTGTCGGTATGGTATTATGGCTGATATCCAATGGACGTTAAGCCAATCGAACTCGACAACACGCGTTCCAGTACTCCAGTTTTTCAAAATATCTCTACGTTTTCTGATGTTGTTCTCACGAAAAAACATTTGCTATTTTGCAACATCGATGTAAAATACAGCTGTTCCTCAAAGCTCACAGTTTTCCTCGAACTACGCTCTCGGGAAACTGTTCACTTCTCGGAACAGATAATGTCCGCGGACAAATATCCGTGCATATTTTCTCCCCAAATAAAGGTTATTGTTTATATATTACCCAATTTTCAAAACCGCTCGTGTTGCGGAAAATACTTGAAGGATAATAAACTCAATAGCCTCCATTTGGCGCGAAAATATGCTCGGAGATTTGTCCTTGGACATTATCTGTTCCTCGAAGCTCATAGTTTTCCTCGAGCTACGCTCTAGGGAAACTGTTCACTTCTTGGTACAGATGATGTCCGCGGCCAGATATCCTTGCATATTTTCTCGCCAAATGGAGTTTATTCAGTGCTTACGTATGTTGCTTTTTGTTAAAGGCCGAACAGCAGTTTAGGCACCAATCACACTTGAAAAAATTGTAATTGCTACGATTAATTTATCAGTTAGCAGTTAAGAAGTTAATTCACTAGTAATTTAT